ACAGTTCGTTTTGGCCCACTACCGGTTTCAACTTTCGATCCCCACTTATTTACTACTCTTGTGCAATTTTAATCTTTTGCAGCATCTCGGCTTTGTAGGGTTTGTTTGTGTTTTCTCCCGTGTGCCTGCGTCTATCTATGCTCATTAAGTCTCTATCTATTCAAAAGGAAGGCACTCGCTTGCTTCTTTGGGTTCTAAAGGTAGTGGATCAAGGAGGCTAGCCTGGATCAATGCAAAGGTAAATACTATTGCTATTCCTTTGTCTTACTGAACCACTTTTTTGGACAATTCATATCTCACTTTGCCTTTCCTTTGCTTGGATCGTAAGTGATGCTTCCTGGGTTTTACTTTTCTGCCAGATTTGTGTTTGTGATTACAATTAGATATAATGGGTTAATAGGCTGGTCTTTGCTTTGCCAAGAGATTTAGAATTTAATCTGCCTTTTCTGATTAGGGTGAATTAGACGCAAATGGTTTTCTGGTTTGCTAAATGTTTAATTTATTACCTTTCCTGTTGTCTTGGAACAGCTGGATTCTTACAATTTTCCTTAATTTTGTCGTATACACTGCACCTTGCAATACTTAATTATTTTTTTCAAAAAATAAAAAGTATTTCAAATAATCTTAAATTAAAAGCTCATGTCTCAGATAATCTTTAATCATGACAGAACTGCAATTGGTGATCAGCTGACCTGATGTTGTTGATTTGTGTTTATGTGATATTGTGATTTCACTGCAGAAACTGAAGCTGTAAATTAGACTGCTCAGATGTGTTTTTCCAAGCCTTGCGTGAAAGGAATACATTGTTTTTCTACTCGGTTGGGAATGCCTTGATTCTTGTTGTAGAAGAACTTGGAGGACGAGTTGATCAACTTGTAGCACCCAATTATGTCATCCAATAGCTCTTTAAAAGCGGAATTGTCAAAGAAGATTTTGGGTGTGAAATTATGGATTTTAATTGGGGTTTGTGTAGGCGCCTTTATAATATTGATTCTTTGTATATTATCCATATGTGTGATGTTTCGGAGAAAATCTAGAAAATCTCTGGACAGGTATTCTTTATCACAAATACCAAATATCTCAAAAGATATTAAGGTGGACAAAGTTGGGGTGCAGAGTTCTCATGATCACCCAGAAAGTGTATTTATTCATGTTAACGACAAAGCAACTGATAAGAATTCAGATAAGATGCTTGCCCACTTAGGCATGAATAAATCCAGTGATCCTGACAATATCAGTCAGTGCAGCTCAATTTATCATCACGAAAGAGGATTTAGTTCCTTGTCAGGAGAAGAAGGAAGCTCTGGGACTGTGAAGAAGCAATCTACATTGTCATATGGAGGGCTTGTGACTGCATCTCCTTTAGTTGGATTGCCAGAGTTTTCTCATCTTGGATGGGGCCACTGGTTTACACTTAGGGATCTGGAACTAGCAACAAATCGTTTCTCAGCTGAAAATGTGCTAGGTGAGGGTGGATACGGCGTTGTTTACAAGGGCAGACTGATCAATGGAACTGAGGTGGCAGTGAAGAAAATTCTTAATAACTTGTAAGGGTACTTTTTGACGCTCAGTTAATTTTTTCGTTCAACTAAACAATGATATTGTTTAATCTTTCTCTGTAATTGTGTTCTAAATTGAATTTTTAGGGGACAGGCAGAGAAAGAATTCAGGGTAGAAGTGGAAGCTATAGGCCATGTACGACATAAAAATCTTGTACGCCTGCTTGGATACTGTGTTGAAGGAGTTCACAGGTAGGATATCATTTCGCAAAATTGTCGATTTCATATTTTAATGCATGTGGGTACTATCTTTCATATACTCTTGTATAAGATTTGGGTTTTAGACTATCATACTACCTCTTTTGTACTCAATAATAGTTCATTTTTTTTATTGCCTTTTTTTTTTAAACTTTTCATCTATTCCAATGTTGCTGTGCAGGCTTTTGGTGTACGAATATGTAAATAACGGAAACCTAGAACAATGGTTACACGGGGTTTTGCGCCAACATGGAATTCTTACCTGGGAGGCCCGCATGAAAGTTGTACTTGGCACAGCCAAAGCGTAAGTTCATCTTGCAATGCAAACATATGAGCCATGGTAGCGTTTTCAATTGTCTATTACTTGGTTTGGTTGTTCCTCACCTATTAATCGTGATAATTGTAGACTATTTGCTTTACCTCTTTTCTGTGCTGATAATAATGATTATCATTGTTATAATTACCATATTTTGTGTGTCCAAATATATGTTATTGACATTCCATTCCTGTTGCTTGGTGATTTTTGGATATATCCTTTATATATTTGCATGTTTGGAATCCATTTTAGTGCAAAAGGTTTTTGCCTCTTGGACAGCATAATTGGACCACAGAATTAAACTCCCTAGTCTTGTGAGATATAATCCCATCTCTAGCTATGGAGTCAAGGTTTTTTTCCCTAATTAGTTATTCTTCCCATCTTAAAATTGATTTCAAATTTGTCACCAATATTCTCTGTTTTGGAGATTTCGTTGTTCCCAAGCAGACTTGGTTAATAGTGGGAGCTAATATATTTCAGTGATTGGTGGCAGGCTTGCTTACTTGCATGAGGCAATTGAACCAAAAGTTGTTCACCGTGATATAAAGTCTAGCAACATATTAATTGATGATGAGTTTAATGCAAAGGTTTCTGACTTTGGATTGGCCAAACTTTTGGACTCAGGAGAAAGCCACATAACTACTAGAGTAATGGGAACATTTGGGTATCCAGAATATTTCATGCTCTTTCCTTATACTTAACAAAAGGAGTTGCACCTCTGGAAATTCACATGTTACGTCTTTTTTGAATTTCAGTTATGTGGCACCGGAGTATGCTAATACTGGTTTATTAAATGAGAAGAGTGACATTTACAGCTTTGGTGTCCTCCTCTTGGAAGCAGTCACTGGAAGGGACCCTGTAGACTATGCGCGACCTGCTAACGAGGTAGCAAATCTTTATGAACTCTTGCAACTAGCTTGCCTATTCTAACTACTGAGACTATGATAAAATTATTCATGGGACTCCACTTGCTAGTTCAAGCTTGAGTTTCTAATGATCCTTGACACGGTATTGGGGTGTCTATGACCAAATGGTCGAGTATTTGGTTGTTCCTGTGTCACATGTCCTGTTTTCTTAACTAAGTTAAGTAAATACGAGATATGGTGGACTTATGTGTTGCTTACACTTCAAGCCCAAATGGCTTTTTGGGTAAAGAGATGTGATAGGGATTATGATAAACTATTCATGGGGTCTCTTTGCTTAAAGCTTAAGCTTAATAGTTTGTAATGATCCTTGACAAATGTGATCAATGCCCATACCATAGGTGACGACTGATGAGCATTTCATTTTGTCATGACAGGTTAATCTTGTCGAATGGCTCAAGATGATGGTGGGAACAAGAAGAGCTGATGAAGTTGTTGATCCAAGCCTTGAAGTTAAACCATCAACCCGATCTTTAAAGCGTGCCCTTCTGGTCGCACTTAGGTGTGTTGATCCTGATGCAGACAAGAGACCCAAAATGAGTCAGGTTGTGAGGATGCTTGAAGCTGATGAATACCCCTTCCGAGAGGTTTCCACTACCATCTTATTGCTTCATATATAATTTTTTTTTTTTTTTTGCTTACTTGGCGACTCTGAATCTTTTTTCAGGAGTTCAGCAACTTTTAAATGTTAAGTGCCCTTCCATCATTATTTTCCTGAATGTGTATGCTGTCTGACCAACCGTCGTGTAGAATTATTCAAGCAATGGATAAAATCTTTTCGGGGAAAAAATATATTTTTGTAGTTTGCATCATTTTTTCCCTACATATTTACTTTCTACGCATATGGTAGTCAAATATGCTCTATGCATCCATCATTGTTGGTCAAGAGATGGAGAAGGGGATTCATCTTCTGCTAATAAAGTCATACTTTATTGTTGGGAATATTTTTCTATTGTGGAAGCTTTATTGAAGTAATAACATTGCAGCTTCACTGTCCTGCTCATAAAGGCATAATGTTATCAATTGATCAAATTTTAATCACTTTCAGGATCGAAGGAATCGAAAGAGCCGCTCAACGAGCATGGAAATTGATTCCATGAAGGATATTTCTGGTTTATCTGAAGCAGAAAAGAAGGCAGGCGACTCTGAAAACCGAGCACCAGATACAACTGAGGGGTAGGACTACTGACAGCCATATGACTTGCCTTCAGCCAAACCAGTAATTATTCAACATCATATATCTATCTACCAAGTTTGTCCCTTTAAAGTTGTTTTTATGAATCTGAGAGAAGAATCACATTAGAGTAGCCTCCTTATATAATCAAGAGTTTTCTCAGTCAATGTGGCCATTCAAGGATATGTGATATACTATAACCACAGGGTAGAATCAGGAGTGAGTGAGTGAGTGTCTATGTTGTACAGGTGTCTGCTTGGACTACCTTCTCATTACATGATTGTTAATTTTTTTTTCTTTGGGTTATCCTTTTTGACTATCCTTGAGTACCCCTGCAGAGTGGAGAATGAAGACTTATGTTTGCCTTCTTCCTTTCTATTTTGCTTTCATTTTGTGTTTATTATTATGTCTAGCCTTCAAAAATATCAATCCAATGATTGGCTTTTCAATAGAACTATAACATATGAAAGATTTATTTATTTTCTTCAAAGAATCATTAATGTGGTTGAATTATAAGAAACAATTACATGTTATTCCTTGTTTGTGGTATCTAAGTAACTAAATTTGGAGAAAATATTTTTGCTTTCGCATGTTACATATTTTGAAGCTAAGTATTGCTGAGAGTTCAACCTCAGAGCTCTGACTAGCTGGAATGTATATATTTAATTTAATTTTTACCCCTTTAAGTACTACATACAGTTCATTATGCAACCTTCCCAGATGATCTCACAAGAGTCTGCTGCGCATGTTTCTGATTCTTTTGTTGTAATTAAGAATTATGTTTTATATTGTAACGTTGTAATTGGGATATTTGCCACATGAAACTAAACAAACACTCGAATTATTTTTCAATTTATGCATATTATCCTTCTACAAGGGTCATGTTAATCTTTTCTGAATCGTTACAATTTTATGAATGTCCTTGAGGAGATGCATTCAATAATTATTGTTTTATTTTACATTTGAACGTTGTATTGGGATATTTGCAATTAAGGACCCCTGTATTTTATATCTACTTATCATGAGCAAATATCCAGAATAACTATCTAACTAGTTGGAAAAATTGTGAGAAAGGCTAAGCTTTAGTTTCACAATAAAGTGAGAAAGTTACATAAACTTTTAAAGTAATCATCCTGCCAAAAGTAATTAAGACCATAACATAACATGGCAGTGAATTATGAGTGGGAAATTTAAACTTTATGCTTTGTTGAACTTTTGGAGTTTGGTTCACCAAAATGGGAAAAGCATCAAATTATGATGGACAAGAATTGTTAGGCGAAGAAGTATGCATTGAAAGGAATGCTTGAGAGCTTCTAACGGTGCAATGTACAATCATTCAAAATATTCTGATAAAAAGCATCCCTTTATTCACGGACTCCTGCTTCTGCTGCTTTTGCCCATTGCTTCTATGAATGGCTGATAAATTATGTACTTTTTTTTTTTTTAATTATAGGCCAACGATCTCATGATCTAATTGTATGTACTAACTACTCTCTCTAGACTATAGAGCAGTGGTAACTACTCTGCAATTAAAAAAAAAGGTGTAACATTAATTTCTTAATTTTTTTTACATCTTTTTAATTATACTCTCATTAAATAATTTTTTAATAATAATAATTAAAATTTTAATACATTATTTTTTTTAAAAAAAGTAATAAATAAATTAGCAGTATAATTGAAGAAAGAGTTGTAAAAATTACTCAATGTCGTACAAGGTTTATAAGAGATGTTATGCATGCATGCATACATATATATTGTGGTTTATGTAGCCCATTTTCTATCATGAAAGATCGCAGGTTCAATTGTGTATTATTTTAAATACTTGCTTGCCTTGTGTAATTTTAAAAAATTATTATGAAAAAAAATTATACATAGGTTCCCCTTAAATTATAATATGAAATTTTTTATATTTTTTATTCATGGTGTTTAGTTTTTATTGACATTATAAATTTAATTTATTTAAAAAATTTTGGGTAAGTATAAAAAATGGGCTCCGTCAATAATACGAGATATCTTGTCTGCGGTACTAGAAGGAATAAAGGTAAGCGACTTTTTACATCAATGACATCACTATCTAAAAATTTGGGGGAACGGTACCTAAATTGGCCTATAATTCTACAAAAAAGATCAGAAATGGGGAAAAAAGAAACTTAGGCCTTTTGTTCCAATTTTTTGGTTGTTGGTAAAAAAATGATATTGTTTCAGTATACTTGATTGCCAATTATTTAAGTTTGATTTATGATTATGAATGCATATTAACTTGTTTGGATTCGAATGTTAAAATTATGAAATCTTATATTTTCATATATATATATATATATATTTAATATCTAAATCTAAAATTTAAAATAAAATATAAATCGAATTGAATCACTGTTCTAGACCAATTTATTGAATTATCAGATAGAAAGTAATTGTAGCTTGTATTTTATTGGGAAATAAATTCAACGCAATATTAATTATAAAAATATGAAATTTGGAGATGATAAAAAAATGGGGTAGTTGGAAGAATTGTTTAACACGTCTTTTTTTTTTTTTTTTCATTGCCAAAAGAAAAAGAATGCATTTTATCCACAAGTCTTAACCAGGGAGGACCCTCATGCTCACTAATAATACACAGCGTCCGAAATGCATATTATAATAATAAATTAACTGAATACTTTTTTTTTTTAAAAAAAAAAAACAATGGTAATGATCATGATAAAGCTTGATGGAGGTGGGCAGTAGGAGAAATTCGGTTCAGCTTTTGACTTGGCAGACTTGGGCACACATTATAACGGTCACTTTTTGCCACTTTCACCGTATATTGTAAGCAAAATATAATTTTAGGACTCCATAACATTGAAAACTAAAATTATAAAAATTTAGAATATTAAAAAAAATACAAGAATTTATAATAAAATTTAAATAAAGTGTAAGAATTTAAAATTATTTTTTTATATTTTATATATGCACACATATTACGTGATCTTTCTCCTATTTTCTTTTTGTAATTATGTATGTCAATCATAAATATTTTTTGTCAAATTATGTCTAACTTGTAATTGAAGGTCATATTACCTGGCCAATCATCATGTATCTTAGTTAATGAGAGATTTATGCTAGCTTAATTAGTAATTTTAAATTTAAACACTGGTTATGAGAAGTTGTTGTCATTGTGATTCCTACTCGCGTTAATCCAATTAAGTTAAAGTTCTTACATATCCTAACATGGATATTGTACTAGATTCATAACAAAAGAAACAAATTGAATTATGTTTTTACAGTCAATTATACCTTGAATTATCAATAGAATTAAATCTAGTGGAATAAGTTAATCATTTATTGTGTGATGAATTAAAATTTAAATTCCCATCGCAAAAGGTATCTAGTTGTGCCTCAAATAGGAAGATAATTGTGAGCCTTAAAAAAAATTGCACCTTGAATTTGATAAATTTACTATTTTCATGTATTCTTAGTGTGTGTTTTGTTACCAACTTGAGATTGCAAAATGAGGCCCAGATCATGAAGCTATGCTAGTACTTAATTAACCAAAAAAATTTTTTATGGATTGATGTGCTTATCTTTAAGTATAAATACAATTTGCGTGATTTCCCTAAGTCTGTTAAGAAGACTAATATGTCCTTAACATGGAAAGCTATTGCAAATGTTTGACCAAAATTTAGACAAGGTTTGGGAAAAATCCTAGACAGTGGCAAGAATACTCTTTTTGGAGAGAAAAATGGGGGTTACTTGAATAGCCCTTGAATGAAGTAAGAATAGAAAGGAGTGGTATATATGATGAAAAGGAGATAGTGGCAGATTACATTCATGAAAATGGAACTTGAGATATTGAGAGGATGCGCCATTGGTTGCCAAAGCCTGTGATTGACTTGATAACTCACACTCAAGTCCCTTATGAGATGAGAGGAGAGGATAAATACATTTGGCTACCTTCTACTAATGGTACCTTTTCCGTTAAATCTACATATAATTTATTTTTTGTAGGTACCATCATGAAGAATGATGACATTTGAAAAAGTATTTGGAGCTGTCTTGCACAAGAAAAGATCAAATCCTTTCTCTGGCTTATGGCTCATAATAGAGTTCATACAACTATACTCAGAGAAGGGGTTTACAAAGCTCAGGTGCTTGCTTATTAGGATGCTCAGAGGAGGAAAACATGATGCATCTCATCAGAGACTATAACTTAGCTCGAGACAAATGGAAAGAAGTAGTTTAATGAGATAAGTGGGAGAAATTCTTCTCCCTTGAACGCCTTGGTTGGCTAAAATGGAATCTAAACAATGAAATAGGTAATCAAAACCCTAGGAATGTCCCTTGGAACATCCCTTTTAGTTACATTTGTTGGGATGTTTGGACTACTAGATATAACAAGCTTTTTGGCTTTAAAGATGTTACTGGTAACATGTCTTCTTTGAACATGTTTTTAAAGTTGCTATGAATTTGATGTTTCTTAACTCTTACTCTCTCAATCTTAGCAAAAGGAATATATCAAGCAAGCGGGTTCCTCCCATTAAGGGTTTTGTTAAGCTTAATACTAATGCTTCTATACTGGTAGATTGGAGGAATGCTTGGGGGGGAGTAATTAGGGATGCTGAAGGTAAATGGATTGTGGGATTTGGTGCCCATTTGGATCCTTCCTCATTTGCCATTGTGGAAATCAAAGGGATAACCAAAGGGTTGGAAATCAGATGGAATCTTGACTACAAACAAGTTGAAGCTATTAGTGACTGCATCGAAGCTCTCAATTTAATTATTAGATATTCTATTATTGATCATCCTTTTCAGTAAGATATTTGAGAGTTAGAGAGTTTGTTAAAAACGATTGAACTTTAATTTTTAATTTCACTTTTGAAGAGGCTAATGAAGTAGCAAATATCTTAGCTACTTTTTGTCATAGTTTAGTGTCTTGGGTTTTGATCATCCCCCACTTTGTTATTGTAAGGTGGTAAATGATGAAATGGTGACTTGATTTGTTTAGGATGTGACTCTATCTCTTATGTTTACTCTTGGTTGTATTGTTTTTGTAATTTAATTATATATAGATATATCCTTGTTTATTAAAAAAATACTTAAATTTTTAAAAATTAAAGGAAATGGTTAATTCCTCACAATATGATGAACTAATATTTAAATTTTTATTTGAAGAGGTATCCATATTTAATACTTAATTATATTTTGAATAAGATTGCTTTGAATAGAAAAACATTTGTGCACAATAAAAAATACTTGATTTTTTTCATTAGATTAGAAGTGTATTTTATTTTGCCCAATGCACTTGATTTGGCTTGATTCATTCTATTATATTTCGTACGCTAAATGAATCCAAAATGTTCTTCCAAGTTTTCAGTTTCCAGCATCGGTAAGGACGATAATTTGGGAAAGCAACATTATTTAGCCCTTCACTATTTTTTGAATTTTTTAATGAGTTATGTACAAAATGCAAATTTGCCATATGTTCTTCTGCTAGCAACATTTGCCTTATGTTGATATGGCAGGCAATTAAATCAGTTAACTAATCATTTTTATTTTTGTTAGTTATTTGGATAATCATGTTTCATATTGTATTATAAAATATAATCATTTTTAATTTTTGAATGAACATGATAGATATTCAAATACTTTTCTAAAAGTTAACGTGATGGGTGTCTTAATTATTTGTTTTAAAGAAAAGTTCATGTTCCTCTTCAAGTGCATGAACGTTTCCGTCAATGTCAATACAATAAAATAAAATAAATCCCATTATCATTTTTTCAGGAATATTAATAGCTCAATTGTTTAAACTAAATGCATCACAATCATATCCCATGAATTTCAATTACAAAATGAACAGGGTCTCCTAACTTTTTTATTAACAATAGATAGATAGAAGAGGACAAGCTTTAATTTATAGTCAACCAACATTATTATTATTGTTGTTGTTGTTGTTAAATAAAACAAAGCTGTATCCCAACAAGTCAATCTAGATAACCTTGTACCTTGGCTCCCTTTCTGATGTTTTTTTTTCTTTGCCTTTTCTTGTTTTTCATTGCCTTTTCTTCGCCTTTTCTTGTTCGGGGAAAGTTACGTTCTTTCCTGTATCTTTTGATCTCAAATTATGAGATTTTTTTTTAATATTTACTTAGGGACTAATTTCGATTCTAATAAATTAAATTGCTTGCAAGTAACAATAAATTTTTTGAATAATGAGTAAATCTTTTCTAATTAAGTTGTTACATTATAAACATTGAAATTCGAACTTCCCATCCATTTATTTATATGATAACTTGAATTGGTTCACGGCAATGAATTTCTAATATCATAATAACAGTACTATTGTGATTTTAATTTAAAAAGTTTAAATCCATCACATGAAGTTAACTTAGGTGCCAATAATAGAACAGATATGAGCAAAGATGAAAGGGGTTAAAATTGTTTTGATATAACACAAAAATTTAAATTTTATTTTGTAACCATTTTTCAAAAATTCCTCAGTTATTTGACTATTTTTAATTCAGTGTTATTCTTTATTTAAAATAAAGACTAAATTAACGAAGATATAATATTTTTGTTATGTATTTTATTCAAAATATGGTAGTTTAATATATTTAAAGTAAAATTTAAAAATGACTGTGATTAGATCAAGTGAATATGATATGATTTTCCTTTAAAAAAAAAGATGAAAAACATGTGTTCAAACTATATGACCAAAAAAAAAAATACTGTGTTAAGAAAACTAATCTTTATAAATTTAGAAAAACGATTTAAATCTATAAAAAAAAAATTAAACTTGTACTTCTTATGTGTATATAGTGTGGCAAAAAATCCTAATAAAATTATTGGTATATCCTTTTAATATTTTCTCACATTTTAATAAATTTTGAATATTATAAAAGTAAGTACTCTCTCTGTTAAAAAATATAAGACATTTTTTTTAGGACTTATATGTTAAAAAAATGTAAGGCATTTTTAATCTTTTGAGATGTAATCATTGCTTTTTTTTAAAAGTGTCCCATAGTGACTTTATATTTATTATAGGATATTTAATAAGGGTAAATATGAAAAGATATGATTAGTTTGAAAGTAAATAACTATTTTATTGAAGATAATATTTAATTAAAAATATTTTATATTTTTACACATAGGAGTACAATTTTGAAAAATCTGTAAGTTATTATGTTTTATATATTTTTTTGACTAAATTATATTTCATATATGTGTGTGTATGTATTGTTAACTATTAAATTTTAATATTCTTACTGATGCTTATTTATAAATTTATTATTATATAGAATTTTCATGGTAAAGCATATATAGTATCATTTTCATGATTGCAAATTATTGGAATTGCAATTTTAAATTCCAAAGATATTACTGTTGTTGTTGTTGTTATGGTTATTATTTGTGACGTTGTGTGGCAGAAATCGTAATGAAACTTGAAACCTCTAGCATATAATGCCAAGTGCGTGAGAGATAAAGAAAGGACTGTGTGTCTTATAAGAGTGTGTGGGGTTACTGTTTGGTTGATCAGAAAATTTCTCAGCGGCACACCCAAAAGGAAATAACTTTGCTTTTCTGCTTTTCCAAAGAGTCCCAGACCCAGAAAGCGAAAGGAATTTTTTGCTTTTCTCACGAAACAACAATGGGCAGTGAGAGCAAGGATAAGGTTGGTGGTGAGAGTGGCAGAGGGCAGGGGATGCCGCCGGCGACGAAGAAGGTTGTGCAGAGTCTGAGGGAGATCGTTAACTGTACGGGATGTACGGACCAAGAGATCTATGCCGTGCTTGAAGAATGTGATATGGACCCGGACCGTGCCGTTGAGAGGCTCCTTGCCCAAGGTCTTGCTCTGTCTTTGTGTTTATGGTTGGAGTAGGAGTATCTTTGGAATCTTGTCTTTGTTGTCGAGAAGACTGATGATGATGATGATTGGAAAGGAGTACTCGCTTTTTGTTGTTCTTTACGCGTCAGTTGCTGAATCGACCTCCCCCCACCCTCTGTTGTGGTGTGCTTGGATTTTTCTAACCCTTTTTAAAGAATTAAAAATAAGTGTTTTCTGAGTTTTGTCTTGTCGCTAATTCCCCGTGCAGTTCATCGTGTGTGTTAATATCTATTTTAATTTATTCGGTTCGTGCTGTGCGTTACTTTCTGGTCGATCATGGAGATGACCACTAGCGTCATTATGAATCCTAAAAGTGGAAAAGTTGTGGCTGGAGTAATGTGAATGCCATTGATGTAATTGCTGATTGCAGCCTTTGCTGTTATAGTGTCACGAGGAACTGTAATGAAATTGAGCTAGGAGTATGCATTTACATCCCAGTAATGGGTAACATAATTTATTGAGAAAACGAGATCGTCTATTTCATCTGTATTTATGGAATCATTATATCTGTTCAGGTGTGTTTTTCCAGATAATAATGTGTATATTTCTTCCTTTTCTTTAGCATTCTTGCTGTATTTGCCTTTATTTGTTTAATTTCTGTATCTATATTAGAACTCATACCACTTTGATAATCAACTTTGTAATGTTAAATGTAGATACTTTTCGCGAGGTGAAAAGCAGACGCGAAAGAAGAAAAGAGGTATTTCTCACATGTAATTATTGGTCTTAGATTCCTAGTCATGGAGGTTTCTTAACATTGTGGTAAGGATGCACATATTATGGGATATATGTTCTTTTTGTTTGGTCAGATGAAGGAGGCAATAGACTTGAGGCCAAGGCGTTATAATGTTGATTTGAGTCGTGGAGGCAAAATTAATAGTGAGCATAATGTGCACGGTGGATCAACACATGGGACTTGTAGTGGTACCTTAATTTGTTTCTAAACATCATCCACTATCTGATTCTTGCAGTTTCCTTACTTTGTCAAATATGTCTAATTTCTGTCAGAACTTGGTAAAGCCGCAGAGAAGGGAGAGGTTGGGTCAGTTTGTCCATCAGTTACATCTTCCATGACTTGTGTTATAGGGAAAGATATGGCTAGGTTAGTTCTTCATGCAATCTGGTAGTGTAAGTGAATTTCTACTGTTACCAGTAGGTGGTGCGTGTCTTGAAGTTTCACCTATATATATTAGAATTTCTACTTGCGTTAAAGGGAAAAATACCAAGGTTTAATTATTGCTTCGCCTATACTTACAAAATGAAAATTATGCTTCTTCATAAAGATGTATTGGTATCGCTGACATAGTGACATAACAAAATTGTAATTTGATGTTCGTAAAATATTCAATTACTCACCTAGGTCATTTGCAGCGATTCCTTTCATACAGATAACAGACACCAGTCATTAGGATCAGCTGGAGTTCCTTCAAGATTTCAACCCACTTTGCTAGGAGTGAGCAAAGGGCATCTTTCAATGGCAGACATTGTAAGAATGGGTAAGCCTTCACAAGATGCCATTTCACACCATTCTAAAGCTCCAGCAGTTTCTACATCTGCAAAGCCGGAGTCAAGCTTAAGTTCACACTATTACAATCAAACCCACCAACAAGATTTTAATCATGAACGGCCTGTAATTGATCAGCCAGTAGTTGGCAATGAGTCACATGCTTCAAAGTTGTCAGCTTTATCAAATGCTAACGTGCCGTCTGACTATTTTAACCCACAAAGTAGTAAAGATAGTTTCCTCAGGAACAGTGTATCAAATGAAGCCCAAGTTCCTCTGCGGGATATTGTTAGTGATGATGTTGATTCTGACGAAATTGAACCTGGTTTCCTATCTAGCGGACATCCTACTATGAACAATACTGGACTAGCATCTCATTCAAACTATAACTTAAGGAGCATTAGTTCCACTGTTTCTCGTAGCTCTTCTGATCATCAAAAAGGTAACTAGTTCAACTTTAGTTTGAGACAGTTTACTTGTGTTTTTTGGTCAATTTATGAAAAATGGTTGCAAGATGGGTTGAATCTTCATTATATTTTATGCTCAGAACTTGATGATTTGCTGTGTATATAGGGGGAATAATTTTTACTCCAGTATTAAAGTATAATACTGTAGTTTATTACTCCATTCCTCCATCCTTTATCTTTCTAATATGATACAGGTTCTTTTTCCTTATGATTTCCTGTCCTCCTTTTTCCTTCTAAATATGTGTCACACCTTCTGCATGGATCTGTAAGGAAATACTTTTATCAAGGTTTCCACACATTCGTTTTTTCTTATTATTTTGTGTTGAGCAATTTCTTAGGCTTGTAGCTACATCTATAGCCAGAAATTTGAAATTTTACTAGTTTGATTAATTCTGATTAAATTTCTCAATGAAACTTATATGATCTATAATGCAGAATTAGCAGAATGAACTATATTCTGCCTTTTACAGGCTTGATACCTGGAAAGATATGGGTCTATGATATATTTTGCTGTCTAGCATTTGCCTTTTCCATTTCTAGGAAGTTTGTCTTTATTCTTATACTTTCTATTCTCAATTTCACTAGCGATGCTCTTAGGTGTTGTGTCTCGTTTCACTATTGTCTACACGCTCAGGAGTGGTAGTACCTAACAATTATTCTGTTCTAATCATTTGGAGTTGAAGAACTTAGAAAAAATGCCTCCAGGAATGCAGTTGGCAGCAAATCTGTAATTCAGTATCTGAAATCGAGCCACCATTATGCTAGCAAGATCCTAGGATCTAAAAATTGAAATAAAATAGAATGGTGACTGTTCATACTGAATGACCTGATCAGACAACATATTTATTAAATACAACAAAAATAGACCAATAAATGCATAATAAAGGACCTAATTGAGATCTGATTACAATCACAAAGTAATAAAACAAAATATTAAATGAATAAATTGACTCTCATTCTGAAGTCTCATGTGATAAACCTGGCTAATCCAAAAATGATTAAACCCATCATTATGGGTTTCCAGCAAGAGTCACTGATTACTGATGCTTTTGCAGATGTTGCATTAGCTGCTTCAGATATCCAGCAATTGAGCTTGAGAGACTCCAAACTGGAAGTTCTATCAACAGAAGATAACTCTGCTTTAGTTCTTCCATGTCATGTACAAGGCTTGACTGATAAATGCTCACATTTGAGTTTCGGAAGTTATAATAGTGGAAGTAATTCGACATCTTCTGCAACACTTGCATCTCATGCTTCAAATTATGGCTTGGAAGTAAATGCTGCAGCTGTAGATGGTGGTTTGCTGGCTCAGAACTTGGATGCCAGGCATTTTCTTCTGCAGATTCAGTCTCTGATATACTCAGCCTTGTCTTTTTAACTTATTTTTTTCATTTACTTTCTGCAGCGATTCTGTATACCGTGGTGATAAAATACTTCGGCAAGATGTTTATAAAGAAGCAACAATTGATAAAAAGTATGACTTCCTTTCATCTTTTCAGCAAGAGCTTGTGAAGCGTACATCTCAAGAGGCAACCATTAATCATGAATACACTACATTGTCATCCGTTGCTGATCCTTTTCAAAAATCCCAGTGGATGTCCAATACACTGCCTTTTAAGAGGCCAGGCTTGCAGAATCGAAACATGTCTACATTTTCTAGAGAAATGGTAAAGCTATGGACTATCAAACTTTTAGTTTCAACACGTGATTTTCAGTTACATTGTTTGGTTTCCTACATGTTAAAGTTCTTGCCTATTTAAAAAATCAGTGATTGTACATGGGTGCAAAAATAGTAATATGGTTGTTTTTGGCTTACGTAGTAACTCTGGTGGGTGATCTGGGTCCCTATATTGTGGTTGTGGTGTTCTTTTACGTGATATATGATCTACTCAAACTGTCATGGGACAGCACAACATATTGGAGCATTAGATATCTTAAAACCGTAAATTACAGAAAAGTGTTCAAAACAGAACAAAGTAATGAAAGCCCTTTAAACTAACTCAAAAAGGAAAGAGATAGGTCTTTTAAAACTATTTGCACGTTCAAGCTATTTGCAAGTTAAATATAGTGTGTCCCCTGAAAAAAACAATGTGATGAGCACCAAAGGGAAGCTATACATACAATTCTATTCCAAAACATATTTTCCATGCAAAGATATTCCCTTGAAATGCAGGAATTCCTCCTCTCTAGCCAAACAAACCACAAAATCCCGTGAGCTGCTCATTGCTGCACATCACTGCCCTTCTTGAATTTTGTTAGTCTTCTGGTTATTTATCTACTTGTGACTCTTTTCTTTGAAAATCACTTTTTAATTGATACAAATGCTGATTCAAATTTTATTCCCAGCAATTTATCGATATTTGTCATTGCGCAATTGCAACCTGCAAGATACACCAGCACGGTATTATCCATAAGCACACTAGCCATCTCCTTGTTGCTTGCTAAGGACCATGTCTATCTGGTTAGAATTGTCAACTAGTGACTGATCAAAACACTGGTTGGCATGTCTCATCAAACAATGACCACCTGCAAGATACATCAACATAGGATTGTCCATAAGCACTCCATCCATCTCCATGTCAGTGTCACTGTTATGGAGATCTCAAGTTACTATGCATCCGTAATTGTTTTGAGGTGCACTTGCTTAGATAAACAATTTGACAAGGTGATACACAATTTTTTATACTTGTTTATCAAGTTAGACAAGTTTTTTTCTTGTGGATTCTGTGCTGGCTTGCCCAGGCTCCAGATACCAAATGGGTTAGTGTCTTGGTTGGGAGCAGCTCTTGGTGGAGGAGGGACTTGCTATGGTATTGGCTTCTTGGTGGAGTAATTAGCTGAGTGGATCATTATGCAATTCATGATTATGCTTTGTTGCATGTACAAAATTGGCTCGCCTCATCAGGAAAAGTTTTATAGATTCAAAGCAGATGTCAAATCTAACATTGAGGAATAACAATGAAAATGAAGTGGATGTCTCTTGTCCTTATACCTAGAGTTATTTCAGATAGTGAATACATTTAATCAAATAACTCTTTGGTTTTTATTTATTTCTAGAATGAAACTATGAATTTTAGTGCCGAATGCTTAACCTAAGTGCCTTGGTTCTACATATTTGAGTTCAAAAAGTGGTCAAAGGGATCAGGTGCTCCGGGCTCCTTGTAATAAACTTTGATGAATTGGACCTGATGTTATGGGGTATTGATTTTATTTTTCTAACATCTCTTGAACCATGCAGGTCATGGAACCCCATTTTTCTCTGCCTCAGAGATCTGCACTTCTCGCAGATCTCAGAGTGCAATCCTTCCAACGGCTGGAACCAGATGATGAAAGAGGTTATCATTCACAAATCCAGAACCGACAGTATTTGCCACCGGTTGTGCAGCAAGAATTTTCGTATAGTTCTGCATATGGTCATTCTTTGGCAGACATGAAGTACAGTCATCCACAAAATAGAAATGAACTTATTATGAGTAGATTGACTCCTGCTAGAAGCAGAGATGCATTTGGCTATGGAAATTCAGGCTCTTCTTATAATCCTGGAAACTTTCTGCCTGATTCATCTCTTGGCCCCATGATGCCTTCTAGTAACTTCGATGATATTTTACCATCTCAATATACCAATGGACGTAATGGAAGCTTGATTCAACAGGTAATAATTGTCAAGGAGGAATGAGCTTTTTATAGAAAGCTGATGTTAATATGTTGATATGAGTGTGTTCTTGGATCATGATTGACGCATGATTTGATTTAAATGCATTGATCATTTGACCAGTAAGGGTAAGTTTTAATCTGTATATACTTGACTTTCTGTGAACCTAGTTCTGAAATTGAAGATGGATGGCATCAAACTGTATTTTCCAATTATTTGAAAGGTTTTTCCTTGAACCTTTTTTTGGGTTGCAAATATGAACCCGATTTCTTTGCCAAGCCGTACACTTTGAAACTGGAATTTCTTTCAGTCGAATGCAGAGTGACCATTAATCCTTTCATGCATCGACCATAACCCTTGTCATACTTATCAAGTTTTATGATTGCGGTCATGCCAGTTTCCTTACCTGACATTTATTGGTATTCAATGAGCAGCATGGTGGCTTTCCAACGTGGGATTACGGGCAGGAACAATTGAGATCGATGTCTCTTCCAGAGAGCATGCGTCATAGCTCCCTGGGACAACCACGTCAAGCTCTACCTCAGTACATGACCCCGGGATATTCTGATCTTCATCATTCCGGGACAGAGATTGCAGCACATCTTCAGCGGCAGGTTGCTTCTCAAGATTTTTCATCCAAGCAATCACATCAATTAGGCAACAGGGCAAACAGCAACTTACATTCTAGTCGTACTCTGCCCCCTTTTTTTCACTAGGGAGTACTCTAGCAGGTTTAGAAGGTGATTAGTGTTTTCCCCCCCGCTAAATGCTCGATTGTTAATTAAGTTGTACATACACTAAAGGGAGGTTAGCATGTCTACTATGATTTTGCCTCCTTTTTGTATTATGTGGCACGAGTTTTTTCCCCCCTAGATCAGGCTTTTCTAGTTGGAAATATTTTGACTGAAGCAAGAGCAATGTGATTTTTCTGCTGTTCTTGTTTTTGAAGTTCAAGCACATCAAGGTTTTATGTGAAATTTCCCAAGGGGATCTCTAATACAATGTTACTCTCTCTGGTTCCATTTATTAGTTATATTCTAGAATGTCCATTTGTTCTTATGTATAAGTCATACTGTGGCTTTTTATGTAATATTTGAGAAATATTTTTAAAATTACTTTTCATGAGGAAAAAAAAGTAACATGACATTACTTTTAAAATTTGTTGTATAGAGACATTTAAAATTTTATATACTTTTATTCCTTAATTTTTTTTTTATATTGATATTGATGGGGTTGGTAGAAATAATTTATAAAGAAGACCAAACAAATACATTGCAAGGTCAGAGAGATGGTGGAGTTAGGTAGTTAGCCATGTGGAATTTTTTTTAATACAAAAGTTTAGATAAGTTGAGTTTTAGGGACTTATCAAGGTTAAAATATATCTTCAAGCTTGAAAATCACTTATAAAAGTGTTAAACAAGGTCTTTATATTAATAATGGAATTTAAACTTGTGACGGGTTATGAGTCAAATTTTTATTAACTAGATATTAGTCAAAATTTATTGAGAGTTGGGAGCCTAGCAAATGAACAATAATGCATTACTTCTTTATTCCTTTTGACAAGTTATTTTTACCAATCTTATCAATACTAATATAAAAAAGTATATAGAATTCTAACTATGCTCTTATATAATAAATTCAATAAGTAATGTCATGTTATTTTTTTCTCTTATAAAAAGTTAATTTTGAAAATACTTTTAAATATTACTTAAAAAGTTACACTGTAACTTATAAATGAAATCAAATAAATTTTTTAAAATGCGGCTTATAAATGTAGGGAGTATGATAGGAACCTAGAAAAGTAGGAATTAGGAGAAGTAATCTATTAAGTTAGCTAGAGCAAGGATCTCACTCTAAATAACTTAACAGCCAAGTAGGAAAATCTTCAAAGGAGTAATGGGTTTATTTCTTCATTCATATCCTGCTGTCAATGGGAGCTAGGATATTTAAAATAAAAGAGTACAACTGAATAATTCAAATAATGCAAGATGTTAGCCTAAAAATCAGGAACTACTCGCAAGAACCTCCCTAACAACCGTAAGGTCCTATTATTTAGCAACTAACAGAATAACAATTCAAATAACAATTCAAATAACATCAATAATTAATTTAAATTAGATAAATCCCTTAAAACATGCATGACAGCATCAATTTTAACTATCTTCCTCTTCTTTATATGATGATAAGTTATTAGTAGTTTCCTAAGCTGACTTGGATACTTATCAGAGTATGTCATAGATTGTACTATTAAAATAATGACATAGATATTGATGACTTGTGGTGGTGGGGCTGGTGTTACTTATCCCTGTCCAACACTGCAATCATTCTTTTAGAATTCCATTCCATTTGAATTTAAATCTAAATCTCAAAAAGACACTAATTAAGCCCCCTCAATGGGGCGGGAAGAAATTTGTTCGTGGCAATTGTACGTCTAAGATATGATAGACCAGATGAAACAAAACCAAACATGACAAGGAAAACCAGAAAAGGCATCTCATTGATGTTATTCTAATGTCTCTTAATGCCTTATGCCATGGATGGACCAAGCCGGAGCTGCTGCCAATTACTGTAACCTCATGCCATGGATGGAGGTAAGTTTTGGCTGTGATGTGAGTGAAGAACTTTGCAAGGAGGAATTGGATGTCTAAAAGACGCAATATTGTCATGACTTAATATCAACACTACTAGGGGTTAAAGGAAAAAAAAAAAAAAAAGACTGGGTTTGAGGTTGAAGATCTGAACTTTAGACAGTCTTGTTCCAGGAAAGACTTTATCATTATGCAACGATGCAGCTAGATGATAGCTTATATTAATTATTCCATTTTAAATAAATTAAGTATCAAAATTTAAAGTTCAATCACTCAATTAAACGGACTCTATTTTAGGTTAAAACTAATTAATTAAAAAGTAAACTTGTTGGACAAAAAAATGTGACTAACAATTGATACAGCCAAACAGGAACTTAAGACAAGTTGGTAGACACCACAAACACATATATTCGTATTCTAATAGAAAGCCAGAGAGTTGCGACGATAGGTGGATTATACGAAATCATGAGATAGGAGATAGCATAGCCTCCAATTATTGTGCTTGTTTTCTCCAACTTCACTACACTAACATTACCATAATTATTTAATGGTTAGAAAGAATGATAATAGAATCTCAAAAATATATTTGATGATAGTTAAGTAATTGATAAATTTCTTTTAAAAAAAGTTATAAATGTTAATTTAAACAGTAATAAATAGGAATCACAGTTATAATATAAGAGTTAAAGTTGAAACTTCTAGATTTGTAGTTATTTAAATTGATATTTACAAAAAAAATTTTAAATTTTTTTTAGGGACTTAATGGTCATTCATTCATTCTTTTGAGATTTAACTATGATTCTTCCTATTATTTATTGTATTAAAAATTCAATTAAATTGGAAGGAACTATCATTATATTGCAACCAAAGGTATCTTTCAAACTCAATTGGTCTTAAGTGCATACTTTGGAGATCAGCTTTCAGTAGATTTAATTGATAAATTAAGCAGTGCTATGTTTGATATTGAAAGTAAAACCTATCATAAAAAACCATAAATTTGTAACAAAATATTAAAAAAAAACTAAATAATTGTATGATTATCATGATTTCAGGTTAAAATAGTGTCAACATATGCCTTCTGATATTTTAAATGTTATACATACCTCTCGTGGATGCCACATGATCAATTTGATTTTCATCTTTTTAGTCTGTTTTCAATTCTTTCTCCAACAATATATGAATTATTTATATTTAATTTGATTGATTTATTTTTTTAATTTTTTAATACCAATAATTATGCTTTAAAATCACGATTAGAAGAATGTTTCATAATATTCTCTGGAAAAGTAACACAAGTTTCTTCTGTAATAGACAATCCAAATGAACTATGTGACAAATGAATATAAAAATCCATGTAAAATATAAAATCTATTTCAATTTGTGCTATTCGCAAACTTTAAATAAACATAATCCAATTAATTTTTTAAAATTTTGCATAAAAATCACCTGGTTAGGATATTAACATGTAAACATGTATATAAACTATAGTAAGTTATTTTGGATGCTTGAAAACGAAATTAATTTGTAGAGATAGGGACAGTGATGACATGGTCCACCCACATGAGAAGCTATGATTAATAGGCTAATAGCAATCAAAAGCTAAACAAAAGTGGGTCATGGGTGCTTCTCAGAAGTTTCAAGTGATAGAAATTGTACAAACAATTCCATGTCCTCAATTTTTTAAAATAAGATATCAATCACAAGTTTATTTGATGTTCAAGCGTGATAACAAATTGTTTTTTTATATATTTTATTATGTACGGAATAACAAATTTTTAAGTAATTTTTCTGCAAATAAAAAATATTATTCATATTTTTATTATACAAGAATTAAAAAATTTTAAAGTAAAATAAATTATTTATGTACAGTTTAGAAGAAATGAATTCAAAAACAAAACATGTGTTTTAGATTTTTAATTTACATAAGTAAGAAAATAACAATTTGTTCTTAAAATAACTTCTAACATATGAGATGCGTGTGGTAATAACTTTTTGAATACCAAATTATAAAATAAAAAATTATCATTTAGATTTTCAGTTTCCATAAATTAAAACATTCTGAAATAAAATAAGTTCTTATTTATCTTTTAAATGTGCAAATGATAAGAAATTTTACGATAGAAGAAGTTGTTGCTTATTTATTTATTTTTAAACATGCACGATGTAATAATTTTTAATACAGAGCTTGTCTAAATTTTAATTCATGTAGGGATAACATATCTTGTATCAAACACAAAAAAAGGGGGGTAACATATCTTGAAATAACAAATTACTGTTTATATTTTTAATATACACAATGTAACAAAGCAAAAGTAATTTGTGGGTAAATAAAACAAGTTAATTTATTTGTAATTATCTACATATTTCTATTTTACATTTTTAAATAATTCTATTTATAAAATTATCATTTAAATATTTATTTAAGATTTAATTTATATAAATTTAATCTAGTACCAAATAACTGTACTAACTAGGTATGACAATAATTAATGTTACAAGTTGGGACAGTGAATAATTGTGAAGAACACATGGTTGAATTTCAACCTTGTTTGACTCTCATAATTTTGGGGAACAACAAACACATCTTTCTTTTTTATTTGAATATAACTGAAATCATTCACAAAAGGAATATAAGCAAAGTCAAACAAACTATGGAGAGAGCCAGCTCATTTATCATCAACCAGCTCCTTCAAATAATTAAGGTAGAGGATTTTTAGCTAGTTGATCAGCATTACTAATAACATCTTTAAAGGCAAAATTAATAGACACTATCCATCTCCTGTTAAATAAATAACACATATGAAAATAATTAGTAAGAATTTTACATCCATATGATCTAACCCAATTTTATTTGAACCGGTCAAAACTTTCAGTATGATTTTCACTTTTTTGGTTTTGTTTTCATTCTTAGCTTGTCACCTCATCTCTTTTTTTTTTTAATTAAATTACTCTATCTAAACAAATAATTTTAAATACATGGATTTTAAATATGATGTTTAAAACATAAACCTTTAAATCTGAATTCATCAATCCAAATGTCATATAATAAAAATAAGAAAATTAATTTGGCCAAAAAAGAAAATAAAAAAATATTGTGTGAAGTTGTTATACGAAGTATGACATTAATATGTCCCTTTTGCTACTCTTATAATATAGACAACATCTTTTACGTAAGTGTAAAGATCGAGAGAGAGAGAGAGAGAGATATATATATATATATATATATAATATAAATATACCTACTTAATAATAGAAATATCCTTTTAATATCCAGCTCCCTCTTAAAAGAATTAATCATAAATAAAAATTAACAATAAATTTTATTTAAAAAATAAGTCATATTTTTATTTTAATAATAATACATTTTGTATTAATCTTTATTTGTGATTAATTTTTTTAAGAAGGGATTGAATGTGATTTTTTTTTTTATTTTTCTTTCATGTAATTAAATGATTTGTTTCAACCTTAATTTTGTCCGAATTCATGATAGCGTGTATAGTACGAGTTGGGTGATGGGTGAGTGCAGCAGACATGAAGTCTAACAAACTTTGACTCATGATTTCGGCGAACATAATGCAACACTCGTGTTCTCTCACCGAATCCTAAATGAAATTTCACAAACATTTTAGTATTTTCATAGACTAGAAAATATTCTGTTTTTCTTAAGTAAGGTTGAAGATTGAAATTTGAATAGATGGTTGAAAAATACTCTTAAATATATAAATAACAATGAATTCCAGCAAAATATGATAATTCTTCATAAATTTTTGAAGACTTTTTTAATATTAATGTCTTTTGTAAAATGGCTATAATATTCCAAATTTTGTCAATTTTAATAAATATTTTGATTTAAATAATGACTATTTTTACAGATGACTAAAACAAGATAATAAATGACAAGTTCTATTCTACAAATTTTTTAATTATTGAAATGCAAATGTCATAAATAATAATGATTATTTTAATTTAACTAATGAATAATTTTTTTGATAATGACTAAAATAAAATAAATAATTACAAATTTTTCTCTATAAATTTTTTAACTGTTGAAGTCCAAAGTAATAAATATTTTTTTTTGGCAATGACTAAAACAAGTGACAAATTACACTTTGCAAATTTTTTTAATCACTAATCCATTTTTTATTTTACATTGGGGGTATTATAGTTATTTTATAAAATATAGTAATGTCAGGAAAGTCACAAGGAATTTGAGAAGAATTATCATATTTTGTATAAACTCATTGTCATTTGTATATTTTATGAAATGATTTTGTCAATCTCCCTTGAAATTCTATAGATAAACAAATTAGGTTAAAAAAGGGAACACTCGGACAAATTTTAAATTTGATTGGGTGATAGTAAATATAGTTGATAAAGATGTGACTAATATCTTTAGTCACAATTTAAAAGACATTTTTTAAGATGATTCGATATTTTAAAATATAAAATATTTTAATAAAATAACATTTTATTAATAATAATTATTTTAATATTATTTTTCATTATTTTACTATTAAAATAAATTTTTTTCCCTCTCTCTTATTTATGAAAGATATTTTTTGAAACTTTATAAAAAAATTAAGATTATAAACTATATTTAATAAACTTATATCTTAATTGTATTCAAAACCAATTCATTTAATCTTTTCTTCTTTTTTATACATAGGCTCACATTTTATGTGTGATTATGAATACAGAGTTTAGTATTGATTGTAATGATAATACAAGATGGTTAACTAACTCTACAACTTTGAGATAAATTCTTACAAACAATATATGCCCATGAGATAGAAGATCTCATGAGATAAATTATCAATATTCTTAAGTAAAACAATTTTGTGCATTTTTCAAAACTCTTTTTTCTTGTTCTATTATTTTCTCAATTTTATTAAAATATGTTTTTTAAAAGAAGTCAACTTATATTAAAGTAAAATGTTAGTACATAAGATAAAAGCCCAAACTGAAAGATTCAATTTGGGCAATGTTAACTACAAACACTCATAACAGGAAAAGAAGAGTTGATTGAAACGTGTCAATATCTAAATGTTATTGAATTATATAAATTTCAAATTATAAAATTTTATAGCAATTTTCATTGATTTTAAAAGAAAATGAAATTTAATTACTTCTAAAAGATATTACAAGTGCTAGTTCACACACACAAACACACGCCTATTTATAATTTCATTTTGATAGACTGAATTTATTTAAAGTTTGTGTAAAAAATTTCAAAGGTCAATATGATAGTAACAAATAAAAATAATTAAAATAAAAATAATTAAACAAAAGGCAAAAGCAAATTTCACAATTTACAACGTACCTAACTTCAATGATTCCAGTTAGTCCCTTTCTTATTTGTTTCCCCACTTCTACATCCTCTGATCATGAGATTAAACCCTTCAAAATTTAGATGTTATAATACCTCAAATGCAAAAGAGTGTTCATAGGATGTGATGAACTCATCTAAAAAATGATCAAAATTAAATTTTTATCCCATAGTTCATTTAATATTTTAAAAGTCATTTAGTCCTGTTAGGAATCAAGACAAAATTAAAATATTCATTTAAAGTGAATAATGTGAGAAAGAGATTTGGATAATAACTTTTATTTAAATATTAAATACATAACAAATATAGGTAACAAATACAGGATGCGATTAATTTCTAACTAAAAGCCATCTGAACTTTCCAAGGGCCACTCCCTTTCATATCATGAGGTTCGTAGGAAGCCATTCATGGAGAGTTATATGATATTTAAAAGATATATAAATAAATTTAGGTAACCAAGCTTGCTTGTATTAGAAAGCTCAATATATCAGAATATATTTTCAATGCAGGAAGTATCAAAATAATATTGACCAGTCAATCCACACGGTAACCAAGTCCTAACAAATCAAAAGAACGAGCTCCTGCTCGTATTTACAGGTTCCAAAGTCAGGTAGCAATATTCTTTTTTCTACCACTCCTAACTGGATGAAGTTGCTGTAACATTAATTATAGGGAGAATCATATCTAAGGATCACTCATGAAAATTATTCACAAATAATAATCAATAAAAAATAAATTATAGTTAAAATAAAAACTTATTTTTTTTTTTCAAACGAGACTTCTTGTTAGTGTGAATAATTTGCTTGAATGGTTCTCATATGTCATTCTCCCTTAATCAAAACCAAAGGCAATGATTAACATAAATAACAAATTTCAACAAAATCCAATGGTAATAATACATATAATAAAAGATATATATATATATAATATACAGGATATTTTAAGAGCAATCTCGAGTCTCGTCCTGTTTCAAACTCTATTTTATCCCATCTTGTAAAATCAAGTCTTGCTTTTTTTAGTGTCCTAAAAGAATTATCCCACTATGATCATAATTGAATTGAGCCGATCAAAACTAGTATAAGGTTAAACATTTAAATTAATTGTCACTAATTTAAATTTAGTCTTACATTATGATAGTAAGAAAAGAAAATGAAGACGACAAAGAAAAGAAGAATCACAGTAAAATCTCAAAAGAAGAAATTAATAATAATTAAATTTCTAACAATTTTTTTAAAAGATGGGTAATAAATATTAATTTAAATAATTATAAATAAAATTTTAATTGAAAACTAATTATATTTAAGATTTAATTCTTATTTTGTATTATATTTTTTAAATTAATATTTATAATTTTATTTTTAAAAAAAATCTTATAGGAATTTAACGTAATTAATCCCCACCCCTCTTCTTGTACTTAGCTCCCATCAACCCAGGAAGAAAAGAAAGAAGGAAGAAGGAGAATAAATTCTATAGAACAGTGAAAAGAAGAGAGAGGAGGAATAATATTTTAAAAAGAGAAAGGCTAAAATAGGACACATCACCTGCCATCATTACAATCATATGACTTACCAGGCAGCCAGCCAGCCATTGAGCCCCTTCTACACTTTGTTTTCAACCTTCTTCCCTCCTTTTTGCTTCTCTTCTTCTGCTGCACCACTCCATCTCCAAGTCTTCACCTTTTCATTATTTTAATTCTCATCATTACCCCATTACTCTATCCCCTCCCTTTTCTTCTCCAAACTCACCACTCCTCCTCTCTGCTTCTTACTTTTCCTGAAGCTCCACGTTGAAGATGATGAGGACTGTGAGCTTTCTTCTTCTATTTCTCTTACTGGCTCAATTCCTCTCTTCTGGTAATCTCTCTCTCTCTCACTTTATCTCTTTGTTTGGTTTTAATTCTCATCTTGTTTGTTTCCCTCTGTTTCTGGCTTCCGCCGTTTCAGTTGCTTCTGATATGGTTCTTGCATACTTGCTCTGTTTTTTTCCCCTTTCACTAACTGAATCTTTTGAAACCCAGAACTCGGTTTCTGAAACCAACAAGAGAGTTTCATTTTTTGCTTTGAACAAACCCATTCTAGTGGCAGTGTTTTTGTTATTAATGTTTATGTTTGGTTCTGGCCCCGAGAGAGAGAGAGAGAGAGGTTCTGTTTTGAGTGGATTGCCTTTTTCAAACTGAATTGTTTACGCTAGGTTCTTTTCTTGGAATATGAGTTTATTAACTGAGCATCTACTTTTTTTAATTCCTGAACATTTTTCCTTTTACAAAACAACCAACTTTCCTGTCTCTTCCATAACTTGGTTAATTTTTTACCCTGTTCCTTCAAGCAATTATTTCCATGGGTGTGTGTGTCAATTGTCTACATCTTTCTGGAGTTCAACATCAGCAAACTGTATTGCTACAACCAAACCTTCTTTCCCAGTTTCACCGTTTCTTGAAAAGATCGAAGGGCCCAATTCCTTTGACTCTTAGGTAACTTCTGTGCATAGGATGCCCTAATTGTCTCATACTGTCCATTTAGGTGTGTAATGCGGCAATAAACATTCATTATACAGTCACATGACACATTATATATTTATATGTACCTAAATATTTTGTTTAAGATTCAATTTTGAGACAAGATTATATTTTGTGGCAATGAAGTATATATGTATGCCTCAGAATTCATCAGCGTAAAGGGATTTTAGTTTTGAGTTGGTGTTTGAGAAACTATTCTGAATCAGTCACAATTTGAATCCAGCTAGCTAGCATGTTTCTTTCCCTTTTCAAAAACTACCAAAAAAAAACAAAAAAGGTAGTTTCTGGATTTCACATCTGTTTCTCTCTTCACATGCTTTTGGAAAGAGAACAGAAGGAGCCAAGTCTCACTCGAAATATCGTTTCAAACGCAGGTACTTCAAGTAGGCCAGGGAAGAAGAAGGAAAAAGAACTCGAGCATGTGAATTATGTACCAGAAGATCATCATCATCATCATCAACAAGCTAGCAGACAACTTTCTACTACCAATAGGGACATTACCACTCCAATCACTACAGTTCCAAACTTAGTTCCCACCACACCAACATCTCCAACTCCAATCTTGAACCCTAATTCTAACCCAGATGTCACAGTCTCTCCGGCCAACACAATCCCCATTACTTCTACAAATTCCCCACCATCTTCTTCTTCTTCTTCTTTAGGTTCAAGTTGGTGTGTTGCTACACCAGCAGCCTCACAGACTGCTTTACAGGTTGCTCTGGACTATGCTTGTGGTTTTGGTGGAGCTGATTGTACTGCAATTCAACCAGGAGGGAGATGTTATAACCCTAATTCTGTTAGGAACCATGCTTCTTATGCTTTCAATAACTATTACCAGAAGAATCCTGTGCCCAATAGCTGCAATTTCGGTGGAACTGCTGTTATCACTAGCACTAACCCAAGTAAGTGAAAGGCCTTTCCTTTTTTCGTTTTACTCTTATTAGAAATTTCACTGACATTTTCTCAGTAATGTTACCTGCATTTTGAAACGAACCCAAGAGGGGGGGGGGAATGCCCAGAAAATTTAATGACCTCTTCTTGTCTTGTGTGTGGCATTATTTACTTCGAAGGGAGAGACACATGCCTGCGTGTGAGGGAAATGGTAGATTTTACTATAGCAACAGAATGAACATTTTGTGTGGGCCCAATATAGCACACATTAATGTCCATCTCTCTTCAAAACTAAGACAGTTAATTGCTTAGGAAAATGAGGGATCTAAATACATGTTAATTCTCACAAAACATAGTGAAGTCTTCACAGTATGGTTTTGCCTGCAGAGGATTCTTGTATTCATCCTCACTCTGAATATGAATATTTATCGTAAGGTTTAAAATTTTATTTGCATTTTAAAGCAAACCCAAAAGGGAGAAAACCCAGAAAACTAGGAGGCCTCTTATGGGGATCCGAATCCAATTACCAATACACAAAAACCGATTTAGATCTCCTGCTGTTATCAAGAAACACAGTAAACACAGAAAAGAGTTAGAAAATAAGACTTACTTTCAATGAGCCTTATATTAGAAAAACAGTGTTTTTGCTTGTGATCATGGCACGTAAATCGATGGAGGATTCTCGGGTTTCATTTTTCAAAGACAAGGGGGAAATATAAAGTCTGGTTGTATCCTTGAATTTCCTTCACCGCGGGTTAGGGGATATATAAGAGCCGCAGAGAGAGCCACTTTAGGGGAAGCAAAAGTCAAACTCGGTTATTTTGGTCTTTGTCGTTGGAAGATGCACCCCAAAAGCTTTATTCTAAACTAGCAAAGTTTACTGGGAGACATTAAGGATCATTTTTAAAAAATTATTTATAAATAAAAATTAATACCGAATTGTTTATTATTAGAATGATAATATAGACTTTTTTTCCTGTAACTTGTTGTTGATTTTTATTTGTAAATAATTTTCTTAGCAAGTCTTAAATTGAATTCTCCCAAATTTAATTTATATGAAAATATTAAGTATAAGTCCCCACTAAGAGACTTATTTACAAACAAGTCTCATAAATTTACATAAAAAACAAGTCCCTTGAAATCTTGTTATAATTTATCATGGGTGTAAAAAGAACTACAATGCCCCAACTTTAGACTTGTCCAATTGTAAATTATGATATTTCAATTATTAATTTATGAGAATCAGTTGTTGTAAATATAACAGGAGAATGACATTTATGTAGTTTTTTGTTTACAACTTGCCCTAGCAAATTTACAATTGAAATTTTATAATTCACAATTGGATAGATCTAAAGTTGGGATAGTGAGGTCATTTCACACCCATAACAAATTATAACTAAACCCTAAAGGACTTGGCTGTATTCTTATGAATGTGTAAGACTTATTTATAAATAATTTTGTTATTCAAGACCTCTACATAATTTTTTTAATATATATATTTTTCTGATTTCACTCCGTATGGATGGATTTGTCTGACATGCAGGTACAGGGACATGTGAATTTCCATCCACAAGGTGAACTTTTTTCCTTATCCAAAACTGATTTGGTCTGCTGAAATGAAACATGAAGCCTCATGAGCTGAAAATAACAATGTTGTATGAATTTTGTGCAGCACAAGCTCATCAATCTTAAACACAACAAACTCAGTGGGTGCTAATGTGTTTGGCTCTGTTCCAGTCCCTTCTTCCTGTCAAGCTCTCACATCAAACAATGGCTTCTCACAAATTCAACTCATCACTCTGTGGCTACTCACTTCAGTCTTGGCTGCCAAGTTTCTCTAAAATAGATCCATACCGCGCTCAGCAATTAAGTTTTGCCTCTTAAGAAATACAAATTAACAATGGTTTCAAAAAGAGAGATAGAAAAAATAAAATAAAACCCATTTCACATGTGAATCCCTGTGTGCGTGTGCGTGTATGAGAGAGAGAGAGAGAGACAGAGAGAGAGAGAGAATTGTTCCCATTTCTTTATCTCTCTTGGTAGAGAGAATTTGGGTCCAACAACACGATCAAGAAGACATAGATTATATAGATAGATACCTCCTCTAGAAAAAGAGAAACAAGCAATATGATGGACATTTGTATAAATTTACACGAGTATACAAGTATTCTTGTTTGTAGGTGTAAATTTTGTTGATTATAAATGATTATATTATTATTGTCTTTTTTTCCCCTTTTTCTTGATAATCTCTACTTGTAGTTTATCCATTTGACTGATTTGCATGTTAATGTGGAAGAGAAAGGTAGGAATTTTGACTAAAATATGAAACAATTCTTTAAGGGATGTTTATGCATGTTTTAAAGAACCAAAAAAAAAAATGCAATCCAACAAAAAATTTTTCGAAAAAAAAAAAGTTGTTTGTTTTCTCTCAAAAGAAGTTAGATGTGATTTAATTAAATAATTAACTAGCGAAACAAACTTTTCAAAAGCTGACCCAACACAATTACCACAAAAAATAATATTCTTTTCAAAAGTGTGATGTTTTTCTTGCTCCATAATCCATTGGACACTCCTTTCATGGAACTCAATCATAATAAAATAACTTATTTTCACTATTCTCACTGACAAAGGGGAAAAAATCAAGCCATATTTTTGTAAGAAAGAGTTTAATAATCAAAATTTAAAGAAATATATATATATATACTTTCTTACTCAATTTTTCAAAATCCCATCATCATTTTTTAATGCTCTTCTTATTTAATTATCGTACAAATTTATGATAAGTGAGTATAAATGCAGGGGATTTGGTTCTTTAAAGCAATACTGATTTGTCAAGCCAAAAAAGGGTGAAAAAAGCAACACTTGCTTTGGCATGAGTTGTTGATTGTTCAGTTACTTGAGGTGATAGATTAATGCATCATACGTACCAATCAACATCTAATATGAACCAATGGGAACTGGATCCTCTCAGCGTCTGCATCCCTTAGCGTCTCTTCGCATCCATATCCTATCCGTTGAAATTATCAAAATACCCACAGTACACAATTACGTGGCTTTTAAAAATGCAAATAAGTTGTTTGTTTTTAAACACTAAAAAAAATGCATTTTAAAAAATCAAATGGGGATAAAAATAGGTTAAACTAGGCCAACTTTTGACTTAACACACTGAGCTTATTCATATAAATAGATCCAACTGTAAATTTAAATTAAGCCTTTTGGTTAAACAAGTTGGGTCAAACTTTTATCTTATAAGTTTCTGCAAGCCTATTTAGTTCTTTTAACATTTTAATAAAATTTATTTTAATTTAATTGTAATGTTATATTTATTTACTTATATAAGGAAAAATAATATTTACTTATATAAATATAATATACAAATATAAATAGATAGACCTACATGCCATGCTTTAAATAAATAGATTTGGCTTTTTTACTTAAACATGCTTGATTGAATGATCTATCTAAACTTTGGCCTGACTTGTTTAATAAAAAGATTTGGCTTAAGCTTATGATTAGCCCTACTTATATAAATAGTATAGACATGTTTTTTGTCAAAATCTGGCATGGCTTGACTCCTAATTCAAGCTAAATAAGCTTTAGTCAAAAGTTGGCTTAGCCGAACCTATTTTTATTCCTATATAATCTTTTAAAATACATTTTTTATTATTTAAAAACAAAATATTTATTTGCATTTTTAAAAGCCATGGATTGTGTATCGTGGGCATTTTGATCATCTCAATGGATAGAATATGGACGCTAAGAGACAATGAGGGATGTAGACACTAAGAGGATCTGGTTCCAAACCAACATTTTTCTGTACAACCTTTATAATTATGATCATAGACATGGGCAATGCTAGGTATAATTTTGGACAGACAAATGCACCCCTTGAGTTTAAAGAAAATTGCAAGAAGAGATTATATGTTTTACTATTTCACATCTCTTAACTTAAATATTTTGTATTCCTTAATCCAACTTTAAAAATATTTGAGTTCCAAAATAATTTAAATTTGTTCAGCTCAAGCCTAAAAAAATATTGCACCTCTTGACCTAGGGTCCTAACACTGCCATTGATCAAAGATACTCCCTTTCTAATTAAAAAATGTACTCCCTCCCTTGGCCAAAATATATATATATATATATATATATATACACTCCCTACTATCGTAGTGTGCCAGCTTCGTTTTATTTAATTATATTGAAATTGTCAAGAACATAAATGATGTGCATATTTAAGAATTTCTCAAATAAGTAAACGTATAAATAAAATTTATTTTTTAACCACTTCCCAATTTTTTAAAAAAAAATTCTTATATTTAGTTAACAGATTGTGATTAATAAAGGAGGTTCAATTTAAAATAACACTAACCTTCTCATAATTTCATCCTTGTAAGATTTATTAACTCAAATTTTAGGGAAAATGGCCATTAAAGACTTGTAAGGTAATTAATATAAAATGAGGACTTGTGTATAACAGAAACATCGGAATTTCCAACTGAAACATCCTTAGTTTACATTAATCTTTCTGTTAGGTTTTCAATTATCATTCTCCCCAAAATTTTTAGTCTCACCTAGCAGTAGAGTCGGGAATAAGGGCCGGGCTTGACGGGCCGCCCGTTTAAGCCCGTTTTAATAAGGGTTCAGGCTTAAAAATTTGGCATTTTTTAGGGTAATCGAGCTTCGAAACCCGACCCTTTTAAGCCCTAGAAAAACGGGCTCGGGCTCGGGCGGCCCGTCAAACCCGTTTTACTATTCACAAAGTATTTTTTTACCTCTTTTCAGATAATGTGCAAACATTGATTTGTATTTTGTACCAGCAATTGGTTAAATTATTTTGTGCCATTTTATAGTAATTTTTATATTTTATCTTGTGATATATGTATAGATATATATTTGATAATAAAAAAATTTAATTAATAATTATTGTAGGTGATGATAAAGAAGCTGCAGAAATAATTAATATTGAGCCTCCGCCTCCATCTTTCACAAGTAAACTTACATCTAAGGGTTTTAATATTTTATTTATGGATGATAATGAGGGAGATCTTGATTAGAATTGATTATGATGTTTGCCTTCATCTTATTTGGACTTTTAAATTTTTTGTTCATTTTTTAGATTATGTGAGACTTTGATTTGATATATGTTAAATTTTAAAATATTCTAAATAAATTTTAATGTTGAATTTTATTTTATTTTTATCCAGGCTTACGGGCCCAGCCCTAAGCCCTATAAATAAGGGCCAGGCTTCAATTTTGAGGTAAAATTGGGGTAATCGAATTTTAGGGCCTAGGTCCCTAAGGGCCGAGCCCTTTACCAACTCTACCCAGCAGTCCCTGGATATATAGAGTCTGTTTGGTTTCTATTCTTATTTTTTATTTTTAAAAATTGTTTTATAATATAGTTTTCAAAATAAAATAAAATGAAAACTCATTTGATTATATCAATTGAAAAACACTTTTCAAAAAATTTTAGAATTAAAAAATAACTGATAATAATGATTATAGATAATTAATAGTGGTGATTAATAATAAAAATTGATCAAAATAACTATAATTTTTAATAATTAAATATAATGTATTTTAAAAATAAAATAAAACAAAAACTACTTAAAGCTGTTTATATTTTTTTGTTTTAAAAAACGAAAAATGAACAGTTTTAGAAACTAAATGAAAAACACTTAAATAAACAATTTTTTTTATTTTTAAAAACAAAAAAACAGTTTTTAAAAACAAAAACCCAACATACCCATAGCTAGCCATATCCATGATAGATTCTTCTTTCTTGACATCTGACCAGCTTCTAATAAATCTGACACCTAGGCTTAGGGATCCAAACACTAGACCCTACTGGGGTCCCATAAAAAATCTTGCTCATATTCACGTGTGTTCACTCCCACTCCCACTCCCACTCCCACAGCAACAATCTCACCAGTCACAGAACTCAACCTTAAAGCATAGGGTTCCCTGCAAGTTGTCCTCTCAAAGGACACCACCAAGTCCCCTTCTCCGACTCTCTGGCCTCTACCACCAAGTTTACCTTACAATGTGGATTAGGGCCTCTTTGGAAAACCTCAATAATCAATTTGAGATCAAGACTAATGATTTTGTGAAAATATATCGAAACACCCCTGTTACATGTTTTAATTAATTATAAATAAAAAAACCATGTTTTTCTAAGAATATCCAAACACCCACAGATCCTCCCAACTAGTTTTGCTTCATACACAAAAGTTGGGAATTGAACTCTCAACTACGTACTTGAAGAACAAGAACTTCTATTATTCACAATAACTTCGAGTTGATAACACTTTGACCTTCTCATTATCTTATACCAGTCAATGTCTAGGTTTCTGTCACTTGATTACTCCTTCAGAGTTCTGGGTACTTCACAAGCAAACCAAACAAAATATAGTGAAGCACTATGGGCCAACATCAGCACACAAATATATAAAAATGTAAGGAATCACATGGTTCACAAGCACAAGATTATTTCATGTGCCGAAGTTGATGAGTTCCATCTTAGTTGATTAATCAATATGCTAACTTCACGATAACTAATCATGTCCACTGGTCGTGATTAAATGAGACAATGCATTTCACAGTGAAGAAGTTCCCACTTCATCAAATAATTACAATGGCAAATAACACTGTACTGTCATCGTAATTCTATACATTCAATGCCACGTTTTCTTGGCTACAAGACATCAACAGGGCCTAACGATACCATCTGTACAAACTTCTGACAGTGAGTTAGATGTTTTCCATATACACATTAAGTTATATCGGCAGATAAGCCATAAGAACCAGAGCAATGGATAATTGAAAAAAAAAATAACAAATACCAAACAGAATAACCTTTTTACAAGTCCGCATGCATAAGACTCGACACTTCAAATTGCACCCAGACGCTACAAATCGTCGTGTTATGATGCCTGTGTTGTGACATGTCACTGTCCTTGCTTAGAATCCAACTTATTTTCTGCTGGTTAAATAACAATTGTTTCTCCATGCATCAAGAAATTTCCCTCTGCTTCTTTGGCTTTGATGATTATTATGAACTATTAACATATTGAGGCTCTATCACAGTGCGACTGCCCCTTCACATCTTGTACACTGTCGTTTTTTGGCTGAGTCAACTTTGTACAGCTAAAGATTCTGTGCAGTGGTTAGGACTCCTAGACCCATTTCTTGTGACTAGGAATAAGATATGCATTAAATAGTTAATTTGCCTACAGCTTGTCATCCAAATCGCCCTTAGGGCTTTCCAACATATCTCCTGAGTATGACCCATCTGGCTGACGGATGCAAATATTCAAATTGCTGGAGAAGAAAGGTCCCTAGATGGTGTAGATAAAAAACTGGTCAGCCATATCTTTGAGGAAATTAGACAGCTGATACACATTTTTTTGGAGCCACGATAGTTGATAGATGAATACAGCTTTTACACTAAAGCAAGAAAGTCTTGAACAGTTTAAGAATTCCAAGAAGTTGATAAGTGAAATTGACAGCTCAAAGTGACATCAAAATAATGACTCTATCTATATGATCTATCCTTATTGCTATCTCAATCACTCAATATGTACACAAAAGTTCCTGCATGGGTACATCAATTTAGGTTTGAACATGAACCACATCCAAGGTTAATATTATATTCCATAACCGCTAAGTCGTGAAAATAATCTTTTTGCAGATGAAAGAACCTTATTTATCCATCTTTGACGCAGTGCACTTGAATTTTAATTAGGGTTTTTCAAGATCTAACCTATAAGCACGCAGCTTCAATCCGTGTTTAGCTAAAAATAAAATTTTAGAGTCAACACAGAGAATATTATCCCAAAAAAAAAAAAAAAAACTAGCTTTATTATTAGACTTGGAATTCAGCAAGTAGTCAAGTACGATAGAATTATCTTCAACTACTTTAGCTAAAGAAAAATTTTAGAGTTAACACCCTGAATATTATCCCCAAAAAAAAAAAAAACTAGCTTTGTCATTAGACTTGGAATTCACAAGTAGTCAAGTACAATAGAATTATCTTCAACTACAATATAGTGTTTAAGTATGTATCGAACCCCTTATTAATTCAACAATTAATCTAAGTACTTTTATTTTTTTTTTAAACAGATTTTGATCAAGCGAATAAGAGCCCATAAGAATACCCAACCTCAACCTATCGCTTTCAACAAACGAGTGGACTCATTATCCTTTAAGGAAGTAAAAATATCATTTATGTCCAAGGAAACAGGGAAGGGTAAAAGAGAATCCAATATCCACTTAAAACAAAATGAAACAGACTGTAGAAAACAGAGAACCAAAAAGATCAATAATGTAACAGAGCTGCCTTATCACTCTGTATACCCAACAGACACACCCATTTGAATAAAAAATGAGAACACCTATGGAAAGCCATAAATACAATTCAACACTAGAAGTGAAGGCTACCAGACACCTGAAAATGAAAGCTATCCCCTTCAACTAAATGCCAAATTCACATGGAATTGCATAAAATGTATATTGTCAGAGTGTTGAAACACAAAAACAAAGCCCTCGACTATTTTATCCAGGGGAGGAAACCAGCTTTCTGCTAACCAAGCTCAAGCCTCCTTAGAAACATAAACTAAAATAGAGATTTTGTTCATCTAAACCTGAACCTTCATACTGAACTTGGACCTAGATTAACGGAGGTTTTATCCTAACCACTGAAACTAGAAGTTGAAGGGGAAGAGCTACCTGATCAAATGCCAATACAAGTTGGGCGAGCATTGTGCCTAACACTAGTAAACATTCTGGACTTCAGTAAAACAAATTAAAAAAAAAAAAGAAAAGAAAGAGTACCTGGTCAGCAGTCTCTTGGCCCTCTGAATGAAAGAGAATTGGCCTGCATCGCTTATCCTCGTTCATTAAGCTTGAATTTTGGAAGTGTGTCACAAGTGCAGCCTTTCCTTGGATCCGTGCATAAGCCAGTGACGCAACTTTTTCACTATTAAATTTTTCCCATTTCTTCCCATTAAATTCCTGCATAAATTTCAATGGTAAGACTTGACAAAATAATATACATGCTTCTTCTGGCCAACAAAACATTCAAGTGAAAGAATAATTCTTGAAAATACCAATGAAATTGTTGAATTTTTATTAAAAATTTTCAGAGTGATATCAGATGACAGATCGGTGTTTATTATCATGGTACAATGTCACGTTAGGGAGATTCTTACAGCACAAAGCCACAAACTAAATTCAAATAACAGCAACAAAATATGAATTGAAACAAGAGAAAGAATCAAAGTTTAAACCTTATAGAAGGGAACAATATGTGAAGCAGACACCATATTGATGAAAGCATAACCCACATTACATTTGTTCTGCAAGAAAAAAAGAATTTTGAGCAAAAGGCCATCTTGAAAAAATCATTCAGCAAATAAAACAATTTACAAAATAAATATACCTTGAAGTCAATGGGCAAGTAGAGAAAGTCATAAGTACCCCGGTGGTTCTCATCAATTGCAGATAGCAACATCTTTGAGGTGTACCTAAAAGGCAACACATTGACTAAAATCATTAAATATATATACATATATATATCAGTTTGCAACCCTATTCAAATTGCTAATGCATCATCAATCACATCACTAGATTAACATTCATACTTATTAGGAATGTTTTTAATCATTAAAGTAGTCCTTGCATCTTCCCCACCGATAATTTTGTCAAGATCAAGTTGATACTGCTTCTTGGCATCAATTTGGGTCACACTATTTTCAGGTCGCCGACTCCGACCAAGTTCAGTAAACCCTTCATTATTTGCAACCACCCCAGAATAAGAACCATTTCCAAGAAACAAGGAACTGTGCCTGGGTAGTGACATCAACCTGAAACTAGGTGAACTAATTTCAGTTGTATTTCCTGAAAGGCCAATAAGCCCAGTAGCTGCTCGAGAACCCATGTTCATAAAATTCCCATCACTCTGATTTATACTCCCATATGAAACTGGACTCATGAAAGAAGCTTCGGGTGAATCTGGGAAATAGTTAAAATGCCTCTCAAGAGGGAGGCCAGATGGAGCAGATCCCACATGATGAAGGGAGCGGGAACCAAGAAAGGAACTGTGTCGATTAGGATATGGGAAACCCTGCTTCTCACCGCCAGATGTAAAAGGGACCTTAGCAGAAGAAGACCACGCAGAAGTACTTGAATGCTCTGTGTAAGAAGTAGTTGGACTTCCCCAAAGAAATTGAGGACCAGACAGTGTTCCAATGCTTGATGAACTTGAGCTTGATTCACCAAAAGTAGCAATGGGTCTAGAACTTGCATTTGCTTTTAGCTCGGGAAAAGACAGTGAATTCTGAAAAGCTACTCCTTGTGTTGATACTGCATTTGTAAATATCTGATTTGAACTATTAACTCTTCCAGAGTCCTTGCCAATTGGAGCAATCTTGGTAGAGTTTGATGCATGAGGGGAGAGAATTGCGGCCAATCCAGAAGAATGGTTGCTATTCACTGGGCTGGCATGACTAAAAGCAGGAGACTTGCTAAAAGAACTTAAATAACTATGTTCAACTGGACTGCCAAATTGCGTCCAGTTACCTGCATAATTTGCCACCTAATTCAGATTCCAACTGAAAAGGCTTCTCAAACATGATATAACTAATAGTATAGAACTAAGCATAAGAAAGAAGGATGGAACAAAATAAACTTACCAGGAGGAGAATTGGCCAGTGGCGAACCTACTTGATGTCTAAATGTCCGTGCTTCATCTAGGTCCAGCTCTTGACTAAGTTGTTGCATCAAACTAAAAAGAGAAAAAGGCATAGCCAAATTTGTACCGGATCAATCAAGTATAACAACAATCGCCTCATAATTGTACTTCAAGCAGTATTGACACCACTTCTGATGTTAATGGCATTTTATTTTAGTTAGTATATTTATGTGATTCTACATTAGCCACTTAGCAAAGTGAAGAACTCTAGTAAGTGGCTAATATTGTAGACTTGGCCACAAAATTCCCCTAAAATATATCAAAGATAATAAGTGCTAATGTAATTATAAAGAAAAAAGAAACAACATGCATGAGAGTGAAGCCTTGAATCTGTAAGATTGAAAGGAGAAGACTAATTAACCACCAAATAAGGAGGAAGAAAAAAGTCAATGACTAGCAACAGTTGCTAACAAGATGGTGAGGCAAACAACATCATGAATAACTAGAAAACTCTCCCGTGAATTGCATGGGAACATTCAAGTTTTTTTAAGAAATATAAGTAGTTTGAGAAAACACCTAACTCCTTGCATTTATAAAATGTTACCTCAATGAAATAATTACTAAACTGTGAAAGAAGAATTTGTTTTTAAATGAACAAGTGAAAGCTATGATGATTTTAAAAAGTCACTTCCACTAACAGTATTGCAACAATGACAGCGGAATGTTGTTTTTATTTATTATATTAATTATATAATACTCACAACCTGACATAGTAATAGTGCAGTATATTTTCAAGATACTGAAGTCACTGACCAGGCAGGTGAAAAAACAAATGAGTTATATTTTGCTGAAAACTGTTTAGAATGTAAATAACCAGTACAAAACCTTACTTTCGACGTGCCCCACCAGGGCGGCTGGGTTCAAGTTTGATGCGTTTCCCTGCAATATCACATCGATTTAATGCCTTAAGTGCGGCCTCAGCTGCTCTAACATCGTAAAATTCAATAAATTTATGATGTCTCTTATGTGGTGTTTCCCTTATCTGCAATTTTTAACACCAAGTAAAGAGATAACAACTGACACATGATAGGTAAAACTAAGGAGATCAAAAACAGAAATTCAGATGAACAGCTAGCACTCTTGCAGAAAGTTTTACCTCTTTGACCTCCCCATAAACCCCAAATATTAGACGAAGATCGTCATTTGATACTGATGGATCCAAATTGAACACTACAAGAGTTCCTTGGTTGATGTCCTTCTCAGAAGGGTTGTCCTGAACAGTTGTATAAAAGATTAAAATTATGAATAACAGAAATCATAATAATGATATCTAAATTATAGATATAAAAATCAAACCTTAGGAATTGAAAAATGAATGTCAAGTTTTCTTCGTCTCAAGGGCTTGTTTTGTAAAGCACGCATTGCAGTTCGAGCATCTCGAATATCATAGTAAGATATCATCACAAAACCCCTATGCTTGCATGCAGTGTATAAAGTTCTGATATCCCCATATTGCTATCCAAGTAAAAAGATAAAACAAGAAAGAAGAAAAGAAGAATTAGAATTGAGACTTGAAAAAAAAAAATAAAATAAAAGCTATCCTCAATGTAGAATAATAAAATAAATAATTTAAAAGTAAATCTTTCAAACTTCAACTGGAAGTATCTCTCACCAAAGCAGCAGCACAATGACAATAAAAATGTCATAGAAAAGAAATTAGTAGATACCACCGTTGCAAAATGTTGGTTGTAATACTAGTGACATATTTTTAGGCTTAGCTCCACATTTCCCCACTTTTTGGTGCAAAGTTAAATATAGGCAAATAGAGAGTATTATAATTTAACTCTTCTTTGCTCGCCATTATCATATGGATAGGGTACTATAAAGGAGGCTACTACAATGAGCAGAGACATGCAACTAAAAAAGCAAAAGCACAATTATCATCCGCATCAAAAGATTGACAAACTTCATTGGAGCACTAGCTTTAACGCAGAATACCTCAAATAGTGATCTTAATTCAGAATCCTCAACGTTACTATTGATGTTTCTCACAAATAACGTTCTTGATGGATGCTCTCCATAGGGATGCTCCCCAGCCACAGGTCCTACACCATTCGGAAGCACATAATGGCCAATACCATTTGAAGCAAGCCCATCACTAACGCTCATTTTTGACATGCCAGTCTTAAGACTCTCTTCAAAATCCATTTCTAACCCTCCTCCACTACCAAATAAATCATTTTCATCCAGATCCTCCAGTTGGCTGGGCAATCTACTCAGGTCAAAATCATCCATTATGCCAGCTAATAGCTCTTCTTCATCATCAGGAAGCATGTTTCCAATAGCATTGGTTTCAACATCTTCAAGTGGATCATATCCCCCAACTTCTTCGTGGACCTTATTAAATATTCGCATGTTATCCTCAAAAGGTTGGCCGTAACGCACTGAATCAGGGAAATTCGCTGCACATTGACAATGAAAAATAAAAAAAATTAAAAAAAGGTATCAGAAATCATATCAGGTGACTCCAGCATCGTGTGTCTAAGAGAATCCCAAGCTTACAATTTTCATGTGGAAGAACAGGAAGAGAACTAGAAAACAAGCTAGCATCACCAGATGCATGATGCACACTAGCTCCATGTTGTATCCCCCAAGCACTGCTTTCCACTTTTTCAGCAACATTAAGTGGAGAAATCCCCGATGGACCTATAAAAACAGTGTGCATAGCTGATTAGAAAACATGAATTCTATGTTTATAACTGAATGTTTGCCTTACATACAAAAAAAAGTAGCACCTGCAGACCCGCTGGCTGACTTAGAATCCAAAGGATGCTTATCCTCTGACTCCATTCAGTCACTTTCAAAAAATGGAATAAGAAATAAAAAAACAAATGAGTAAAATATGAGTATCAATTATGCAAAGACATTATAACTAGAACCAAAGTGAAACAAATTTGTCACGAATCGTTACAGAACACTGCTGTGATCAAGTAAGGAAGGGGTGTCATAATTCAGTCTCCCTATGGACAGACCAAAGTTTCCTCAATCTTCTATATCATTACACAGGATATACCCAATGGAATAATTAGTAAGAGTACAACCTCCAACAAGATGTGTCAAGTTAATCAACCAACATTTGTAACCACAACAACATGTTGATCAATAGCACTTTTATAAGATGGAGCTGAATAAATGAAATGGAAATGTAGTGAGTAATCAACTGATTCTACAATGGATGCATTCTATTGAAGAAACAACAAAAGCCAGGGAATGTTGGTTCTTATTGGAACCCCATTTTCTATCTTTTTTATTGGTTCAGAAAGAGAAGGACAAGGGGGGAGGGGGAATGGAAAATTAAATAAAAGCAAGTGGCAATTGGACCGAGTTATAAAAAGAGATATAGTAGCAAGTTGTTACGAAGTTTAAGCATATTCATTTGTATCCTTTATTCTTCCAAAAAAGAGCACTGCAATTTCCCTTCCTTTTCCTCAATAAAATATGCCCAGAAAAGAAGCAATAATCACAACCTGCTCCATTCTGATCATTCTTTAATCATACTACGTTCACTCCCTTCCATTACGTTTAACCCCTTTATCAAGCTGTCAATAATGGCAGACGGGTAGAGCATTTTTTTGACTTGACCAGAATTCAAACAGATAACGTGCTTTGTAGTTTGAAACCACAAAAGCGTAAAATATATATATATATATATATATATAAAATAAGATGGGCAGATTAAAGGGATTGAACAAAAAGTGAAGCTAGAGAACACTTGACAGCCGAAGCTTTTCGCAACTGCCTGCTTAGTCAACAAAGTTCCCAACCAAAATAACCCAGCCGACAATAATCCACACCACAGATTACATGTGCTGTGAGCAAAAATGCACAGTTTTATATGACTTGATGAAACCACAATTGAGAGTGATAAGAGTCAACTTAAGTTCCAACTCGAAATTACCAAGCAAGTCTAATCAACAGTAGCAGCCTCCACAAGAAAAGCATACAGTTTCTGAGTTATCACCGACAGCTCAGGTTTCATTTGCCAAAATTCTAAAATCCTACTTGCTAGGTATCGCCATCACATGCAGCAAAAGGCAGACTAAGAAAGAATTGTTTCAAACTTGAAGAATTAGAAAGCGTGAAAGGAGGTGGACGGAGAAGAAAACATACGGTACCTGGAGAATAGAAGACAGGAGTGAGGGAAGCGCTATAGGACGTCCATGGAGGACAGACTTTCTAGCTGACGATGTAAACAATTGTGTTGATCACGGAAATTGGGTAGGGAGGGAGAGTTTCGTAGAAGCAGAGATATTTCTTCCTTTCACTCTTCCACTTCCTCCACCATCGCCGGAAAACCAGAGCAAGAGAAGTGAGAGAAAATTCACGAGCGTAAATTAAGAAGAAAAGAAGAAAAACAGAGAGAAAAATAGCAGCAGCAATCGGGGCGAAAATCAGAGGGAAAAAGGAGCAAGCAATAAATGATTGGAAGGAAGAAGCACCAGTACGGGAAAATTAAGTAGAAAGAACATAGAATTTCATAAAAATGTGTATTTATTCACTGCGAAAAAAAAAAAAAAAAAGATACGTGCTATGTTTTCTTTTCTCTCTCAGTTTCGCTGTCCAGTCTTCTGCACTGAAATTCTGCCATATTTGAATTTCTTTTGGCGTCCGTTGACACGCACGCATTCAAGAGTCCTAAAGCACTCCTCAGCTCTAAAATTAAGAATTAAGAATATTCTATATGTGTCTGTAATATCAGACACGTAATTTTATTTTATTTTATTATGGACTCATGGATTGTTTTGTTAAAAACTGTGAGGTAATTTTAATTGAGTTGTATCCTCTAATAAATTGATTAATCATATTTAAATTAATACTATTTTTTATATTTATTTTTATTTAATAAAGTGTCTAGTTAAGTATAAAAAATTAAATGATTTGTTTATTAAAAATATTTTAAAAAACTCATTGATTATATATTAAGAAAATAAAAATAATTTATATTTTTGAATAGATGAAGTTTTTTTTTTTGACAAAAAAGTGAAAGGACATTTTCTTATGGTATTAAAATTTTGACTGATTACACAGTTAATTAGTGAATCTTGGACAAGTTAATAGGTTGAATTTTATGTTTTTTTCTCATTACTAATTATAAAATAACTTTATTTTGAATTATTCATAATTCAATCATGATTTGAATATTGACTATTGAATCATTTTCTTGGTGAGTTCAATGATCATTTTAGATGTCAAAACCCTTCATTTTCTAGGTATCCCAGCCTAGTTTAAATTATAAACTTTAACATTTCATTTTGTATTTTATTTTAATTAAAAAATAAAAAAATTAACTGAATCTCTTCTCACTAAAATTTTTTTTTTTTTGGATAACATACTAAAGAATTTTTTTTAACTTATATATCTCCCCTCTACATTACATAGGAAACAAATATTTTGTTCAAGTTCATATTCATATTGTTATCCTCTAAGTAAATACCGGATCTAATTTCATAAATTCATATTTATGATACTAAGAATATGTAGTTCGCCATATTGATAATTTTATGCTGATTTCAATAATGAGTGAGCATCCTTAACAATGAAAACTGGACTATCTATCCGTTTTTAAAAAATCATTATTAAAATATAATTTAAATTTATATTATTATTCTATTAAGATAAGAAAATATTAAAATTTTGGTGATAAAATTAAATATATTTAAATTTCATCATTTTAATAAAAAAATAAATTTATTATTTAAGAATCAAGATGAGCATATCAAATAAAGTAATGAACACCAAGGAAAGCCTAGTCAGTTGAATGAAACGACATTTTCAAGTGAATTCAATTAAATTTTTTTAATTATAAAGACCAAACTAAAATAATAAGAACCAAGAGAAAAGGTTTGTGTAATTTAGTAGAAAGTTTCCCCGTGACCAATCATTATATCAAGAGATAAAATTTGATAAAAAATATTTTTTTATTTAAAAAAGTAAAATATTTTTAACTGAATTTTACTTTCAATAAAACAATTACTATTTTTCAACTAACTTTATCTTTTTATATTTATCCCTATTGAATATCCTATAATAAATGTAAAATCATTATTGATATGGACACTTTTGAAAAAAAATAATTATATTTCAAAAGACTAAAAATACCTTATATTTTTTAACATCCAACTCCTCAAAAAATACCATACATTTTTAAATGAAGGGAGTACTGACTAATAAATTTTCTCTCAATTGAAATTAAATTAACATTGTCTCAAAAAACAATATTTCCATTCAATATTATAAAACATTTTTCTAAAATACTATGATAAAATAAATAAGATATTTTAGATCTTCCAATATGTAATTAGAAATGTTTTACCAAAAATATCATTAATTAAGTATGCATTTAATCAGGTTCTATGATAGAAATATCATATTAAATAAAAATAAATATAAAAAAGTGTTTAATTCTAAATATAATCAACTAATCTATTAAATATATAATGAGATTAGAAGCGCCTTATAATACCGAACTGAAGGAATATTTAGATTAATAATTTTTTGATATTGTTGTTGGGACAGTAACGTTGGAAGAATTGAATGATTTTAAGATTGATTAAAAATTTGAGTTAAATGCAAGTGGCGTTCCTGTTTGATGAACACGTTTGTGTGAGGAAAAGTGGGATGACTTTTACTGAGTGTGGACCAATCAGGACGAGCGACGGGCCATGGAAACAGAATTCAAGTGAGAGAGAGCGCAGTGGAATATTACAATCACTACAGACACCGCAATGACGTCATATTGCGTTGGCAAGGCTCCCGAGTTGTGAGTTCACACGCCTTTTTCCTGCGAAACTTGCGGGGATCACCTTTAACCAATCATGTCCCGCCACGTTGCGTTCAGTTTTCGCTTTTGTTCTTCACCTTCCTTAGTGCACGAACTTTGTGACTTTGTGTCGGGTGTCTGATCTTAAAATCGGGAGAATAATAAAAGGATCTTCAATTAATTTAAATTAAATTATAAGTGTTAAATTTTGAGAAATTTATAAATTTATTTCTTAATTTTATAAATATGTTGTGATAAATTTAAAATTTATTTTTTAAATTTTAACATAATTAAAAAATAAAAATTTATTTTTTTATTAAAATTTAAAATACAAGTTATAAATTCAACACAACATAATTATGAAATTAAAAAATTAAATTATAAATTTTTAAAATTTAATATTTAAAATTTAATTTAAATTAATTAATTTTTTTAAAAGTTCTCTATCTTCTCCCCTTAAAAATTGTATGTCAAGGTACACCTATTTTTATTTTTTACCATGAAATTGAATTCTCATCCAACACAGCGTAAAAATACGATACACTGAACACCTAATACAAAGAAAAGGCAAAAACCTTAAAAGCCGCAGAAGGTACACCTGTTTTAACTTTGGGATATGACAATAAAATTCTAGGAAATTACATAAATCATATTTAAATTTTTTAAAATGTTATAATTTTTTTAAGTTCCTAAATACTTTTATAATATTAATAATTTTAAATTAAATGATTAAATTACTTTTTATTTAAAATAAGAAAATGGTAGGTTAACATGAGAAACTGTGATTTATTATTCAATTATTATGATTTATAAAATAAAAGCTGTGATTGTTTAAATAAAAATTATTACTAATTGTTTTTAAAACTTGATTTTCAGCAATAAAATAAATTTTAAGTAAATAATTATAATTTTTTATTCAATTCTTATTATTTATATAATAAAATTTGTGATTACTTGAACAAAAATTATGATTGATTATTTTCATAACTTAAATTTCAATAATAAAAGAAATGTCATGAGAAAAATTTTGATTTTTTGTTTAATTTTTGTGAGTCATAAAATTAAAGTTGTGCTTGCTTAAATAAAAGATATGATTGGGATTGATTATTTTTAAAACTTATTTATCAATCACAATAAAAATTTCACATGAAAAATTGTGATTATTGTTTAATTTTTGTTATTGTTTAAACAACAATTATGATTGAAAAAATGAAATCAAACTCGTTATTTTTTATCTTAAACAATAGGTAATTTAATCATTTAACCTAATATTATTAATGTTGGAAAGATATCTAAAGACATCAGAAAAATTATAATATTTTAAGGGATTTGATTGTTATTTATATATTTCAGTGGGATTTTGTTGTTATTTTCCCCTTAACTTTCTTTGTTTTTTCAAAGCATTTTCTAAGAAACTTAATTTAATTTATAGTGTACATATTATTTTAAAATAATTTACTTTATTTGGAAAAAAGAAAAGCAATATTGACAAGAAATACAACGATGCATCAACATGCACAAAAACCTTGAAAAAAAAAATTATTTGCACTACTTGTGGGCTAGTAGTATTGAGTTCCCTTTATTTTGCGGGAATCTTTTATTTATCATACAAGTAATTATATGTGTATTCTTGTCTTCCTCTTTTGCCAACCTATAAATTCTTACATGTATATCTTAAATAAAAAAAATTGCACGCCCACTATCTTTCTTTATAAGATTGATATAATAAGATATTTTTTGCAATTTTAGGAAGTTCAATAAAATATTTTAAATATATCCTTAATCAGTGTTTTAAGGCATTTGGTTTATTTAAAAAAATTTGGGATTATGCAAATCATTTGTACATTTAATAAAAAGTAGATTTTGGAATAAGCTAAAAAAAATAATTAAACAGCAGCCAAATTATTGGCATCCGTTAATTTTAAAACTATATCTTATATATTGAGTGTGACCTTATAATCTTAAAACATCCCCATCTTTTAAGCTTAGACGACCAGTTTGGCACTCCTGTACGTTACAAGCTCTTAGAATATAATTCTTTTTATTAGACATAGATGTTCTCATTAAAGACAATTATGCTTGAGACGCCATGGAACAATAAATGTGAGCACTTTTTTAATGAAAATTTAAAAATTAATTCATGAAATACTAATACCATTCACAAAACCTAATTTCCATTGGTCTCTTGGATCATAATTCACCTATCCATGACTTATTCTCAACCCCATGTAAGCTCAAATATTAAACCACAAATTCTTGCCTTGTAATTTAAACACCCAATGGGTTATCCAATATATATTTGTTGGGCCTTTTTTTAAAAAAAGTCTTCCTTAGTTGGGCCATGCTTTTATGGGCATTTGTTTAAACCTATTTTACAATCCTTAAAAACTTTCAACTTCTAAGCTCATATCTTATCTTCTAAGATTTGGTAATTTAAGACTATTTTTAATGGTGATATTTTCTAAATATTATTCTAGATTAATAAATAATTAAGAAAATTAATCCATAACTTCTTATACTTTTTAAATTTTAAATTAGATCCCTATAGTTTATGTATGTTTTAATCATTCCTTCATAGTTTGATCTATTAGATAATCATATCTTATCTTCTAAGATTTTTCCATTTAAGATGATTTTTTAATGGTGATATTTTCTAAATTTTGTTCTTGAGTAATAAATAATTGTTAAAATTAATCACCACTACTTTATTTTTTTTATTTTGAATTAGATCTCTATAGTTTAT